GGGGGGGAGAAAGAAAAGGACATACTGAGTACTTTGATTTTGGTAGAATATTAGACACAAGTACAACATTCATGATGTATGAACTCTGTATGTGTGAACTCTGTTTTAGTTTTGGCTCGTGCTCATCATCTGACTTTTTTTCTTTCTTTTAAGCCTGTAAAGTCTAAAAAAAATCAGATATAAATTTGAATTCCACGGCAAATCAAATATCATTTAAAACATCTTGTTGTTTTTTTTTACTTAAATTTTCTGCTAGAAATGGTATATGCTTTGTTAGTTCACAGGTTCATTTTTATATTTGGGTGGAAATGTGGTTTGTTTGCCATTTTTTTCCAGATCTTCTATCCAGAGACAACAGATATCTATGACCGCAAGAACATGCCTAGGGCCGTGTACTGTGTCCATGCTCTCAGGTAAGCTTTATTGTGATTAGCAAGCTGTATGAAAAAAAAAAAAATTCAAAATTGTGTCAGTTTAATGCTCGTACTGAATGGGATAATTTGTATGAAGAAAGGACACAACTTAGGGCCAAGCTGAGTCTCAAACCCCCGAACCTGCAAAATCAGGGTTAGGAGTCCGGTAAACTAACCACTAGACTGCCAACACCACAAGCTGCTTGGGCTTGTCATTAGCCATTTTTATTAGATTTCGTGAAACATTGATAAAAATATCGAATATGTTTTATAAAGAAAGCTGTTTCGTACTGAAAGTATTCCTGACCTGCTCTTTGTGTCTCTAAAGTGAAAACAAGAACAGTTTGTATATATTTATAATGAAATTTTAATGGTTAGGAGAGAAAAAGAAATGCTTCCTTGCTATTTTTTACAAGAAAAATGACAGGATGCCAAGAGTTGCTTTGTAGCTGAAAAACAAACACAGTTCATGCATTAGAAAAGAAAATGATAAAGTTGAAAGCATGCACTTGAGAGCTCAACTTCTGTTTCATAGTATAAGTTACCTGTGCAACAGGAGTGAATTTTTAGAATACTTGTTTATGCTGATTATGCACATCGCCAAAGCAGCCACTTTGCATTAGTGTCTAGGCTCTTTAGTCATCAATGGTGAATAAATTGCTTCTCATTTATCAGCAGATGGTTGTGAAGCATGTGTATCTGATACTTTTACTGTTAGTGGGAGGGAATTGTCTATGACGCCTGAACCATCTCTAAGTAATGAAACAGATGATTTTGACATTTAGGAAAGCCAGTTGTATGATAAATATACAATTAAATGGGAGGTCTACTTATTTCTTATTGCACTTACAGTGGAGTAGGGAGCATTTGTGGTATTACTATGTTGGCACTCCACTTGATATGTGATAGGAGGAGACATTTATCAGAGACTCATGTTATTTTGCGATGTTCTTTGTTTTCAGGCATATTTTGTGCTGTTTCCTTGCTTTATAAAAGCTGAGCAGTGTTTGTTGCTCAACACCAGATTTTTTTGGCACCTTTTGTTTTGGGGCAGGGCAGAGGAGGTGAACAAATGCTCCAGGAATGGAGATAAAAAATCTGCAGTGTCAGCATAAATGGGGATTCGGTGAGCTTGGGATGCGATATTAATTTGTAATGGTTGGAACAGTTTTATTTGAGACTTACATTTCTTTTATAACATTTTCTTTTTTGCGATGGCTTGCAAAAAATATGTGCAATAAGAATTTAATTGGTGTTTGTGATTGGGATAAATTCCTGCAATGTTTGCATGTTTTTGGAAATTTGGCTTGTTCAGCGTACAGCAACTGTCCGAGTCATGAAGGAAACAACCTCAGTACATGAGTCCTTATAAAGAAATGGTACATGAGTTGGGTCCACTGGCTGTCGTTGCTGCATGTGATTAAAAAAATTTATTGACACCCCCCTCCCCCCAAAAAAAAACAACCAAAAAAACAAACAGCAACAAAATAACAAACAGAACAACAAAAAACGGAAAAAAAACCCCAATATAAAACAGAACAAAAAAATCCAACCAGACAAAAAACCACAAATGAATATCAGAGCACTACTCCATGCTAATTAAGTGAAAGGAGACAAATATAGCAAAAAACTGTCACATTAGATTTATTGCCATGTTCATCCCCCCAGCCCGGCTCCCATGAAAACATAGGCCTACTCCCTTCCCCTTTTGAGGTATTCAGTCCCATTATATTTAGCTGATTATGCTCTAATGGAAATCCATTCCTTGTGTAAGATAGGAGCATACTTAAGCATGTAATTGTTCACTTGGAGTACAATTCTACACATTAAAAGGAAACAATCTGCCAAAAAGATTTAGCTGTTTGTAACCTATGTGGCTATTGTCATGTTATTTAGTTATTTCAGTTAAACAATCCCAATTTTTGACATTTTCTCTTTATATTTTGGAATATTTTGTCACCATTGCAGTTACTGATTTTTCGTTGATTGAAACTGAAGCATGACAAATTGTATATTCTCCACCCTATGTGAACTTGTAATAAGTTGACTTGAAGATTGGCAAAGAAATTTTTTTTTGGCTCTGTCCTCAGTCTATTCCTTTTCAAGCTGGGTCTTGCACCACAGATTCAAGATCTGTATGGGAAGATCAATTTTACAGGTAAAAAAAGTTTTAAATCTTTCAATTTATTCTAAGATGCTTTAGAAATCTTGATGTGATCTTTCTTGTCTATCTACTAGTTGTAAAAGTAGGGACATTCTGACTTCTAAAGTCTTTTCTTTGTAATGTCTTGGGTGAGATTAAACTACTGTTTCTTCTTTGTATTTGAGAACTCTTTAGTATGCCGTAGTCCCTTGTAAGAAGCAAATTGTCCATGCATTTTTCTTCCTCACATTGTTTTCTTGTCCAGTATCGTTTCGATCTCAATTGTTTTCCTACATAGTAGCTGTAATTTATGTTCTTTTTATGGTTCTATAGTGCTTGTTGCTGCTGCCAAACTGTTAATACAACATTATGTATTGGTAGATGACAGCATTCATTTCAATTTTCTCTTTAAGTTCAATTCTCTGAAATGATTTGCATATCTATATAACCTATTTGTATTGCAAGTATTGTTAGAAATCAAACAAAAAAACTATTTGCATTTCAGAGGAAGAAATTAGTGCCATGCGAAAGGAGTTGGATAAATATGGAATTCAGATGCCAGCATTTAGTAAAATTGGAGGAATTCTTGCTAATGAGGTGAGTACTATTTGAAGTGAAATACTATGTTTTAAACACCACCTTCCCCCCAATCCTGCTGTTTGTTTCAGTTGTAATATTTCTTTAAAGTTAGCAACATGTAATTCTTTTTTGTTCATGACAATGGGAATTTTATCAAGGAGTTGGGGGTAAAAGGTGGGTAAGTTTTGTTATGGAATAAAGCTTTAGAAATGTTTTTATTGTTATATTTTGTTAGCTACTCTGACATCTTTGATCACCAAAGACACTTGCGGGGACTGTTTGTAAACATTTTGCCCCACTTCATGTATTCTTGATCTCAAACATGGTCTTCCTGTCTTTCTTTCCACAGCTCACAGTTGATGACGCAGCATGTGAGTGACATTTTTGTTTTGTGTTGACTGAACAAACTTTCAAAATTATATTTTGCTATGGTGTGCAGTGTCTTTACTTTTAGAATGAAGGATTCGAGCCTCTATGCTATGTGTTATGATCAGATAATGCCAGATCATTCATATGAATGGAATTGGCAGAGATGCTCTGTAGCCTCTGCAATGCAAATTCATAGAATTAAACCAACATTCAAAAGCGCATGTGTATGCATGCGGACCCACACCTGCTCTCTGTGTGTCTCTCTTTGTCTCTCTCTTTGTCTCTCTCTGTCTCTGTCTCTGTCTGTCGGTCTGTCTGTCTGTTTGTCTGTCTGTCTGTCTGTCTGTCTGTCTGTCTGTCTGTCTGTCTGTCTCTCTCTCTCTCTCTCTCTCTCTCTCTCTCTC